TCAGTGTAATAATTGTCTTATCCAATATACCAAGGCAGTTCAGTGTAATAAAGCAGTGTGATAATTGTCTTTATCCCATATACCAAGGCAGTTCAGTGTAATAAAGCAGTGTGATAATTGTATTCATCCCATATACCATGACAGTTCCGTGTAATAAAGCAGTGTGATAATTGTATTTATCCCATTACCATGGCAGTTCAGTGCAATAAAGCAGTGTAATAATTGTATTTATCCCATATACCATGACAGTTCCGTGTAATAAAGCAGTGTGATAATTGTATTTATCCCATTACCATGGCAGTTCAGTGCAATAAAGCAGTGTAATAATTGTATTTATCCCATATACCATGACAGTTCTGTGTAATAAAGCAGTGTGATAATTGTATTTATCCCAAATACCATGACAGTTCCGTGTAATAAAGCAGTGTATTAATTGTATTTACCCCATATACCATGACAGTTCTGTGTAATAAAGCAGTGTAATAATTGTATTTATCCCATATACCATGACAGTTCCGTGTAATAAAGCAGTGTAATAATTGTATTTATCATATATACTGTTGCAGCTCAGTGTAATGACGCATTTTATTAATTGCCTATATTTCCATCATGTAATAACAACCTCGACAATCTGATTGGTCGGTGCAAGCAGATTGAAAGTAAACCAATATCAGATAATATTGGTGGTTTTACACAATATTTCTTGAATTATTATTGGTAATAACATTAATTCGTAGATTTCTTGTAGTTTCAGATGTCGACTAAAACACTTGTCTGATATAAAGACATATTCTCCCGACTCATCTTTTCCGCGCACGTAAATTTGTTTCATCCACAATCTAGTGGTGATTCGTCACGAGTTGTGAAACGTCCAAGGTTTGATTTTACTTGAAAATTTGTAATTATATAAGATGCATGACTTATGACATATGCCCCATATTACGCAATAACAATTCTGATAATCTGATTGGTCCATACAAATAGAATAAACTTTTAACATTACTGAGTGTAGCCATGGATCTACATTAAAAAATGATGATGAGCAGCAAATTGATGCGTAGTGTATTTGTACCAAACAAATAAAGTAGACACAATTAAAGTAGTAACTTCTATTTACCTATTGATATCTCAATTACACTTCAAACTAGACAAACTTTGCTCAAACTGTCTTGTCCGAAGAATCTTAATTCTAGTCCACGCATGCGCATTTCACATAGCAGGATTTGTGGCGGCGTTTGAGAAGGAAGACTAAAATTGAAAATTGTCGGAGCACATTTTTAACTTACCGCCTTAGTATATGGGATGCAGATGGACAGAATACATTCCTCCTGTTTTAGATCTACCTTCCGATCATGTAGACAAAACAACTTTATTGGCAGTGATCTCTGGTGACCTGTAAAACGTCATAATCAAAATGGTAGCATATGACAGTATATCTGTTCTGTGTCATTTTCTGCTTTGTTAACGTCACACATTCATTATTGGCATATGATAGAGACGATGATGTGTATGTTTTAACGTATTAAACGCCCTATCTTCTACTACGCAAACTG